TGTCCTCCTGTTGTCCTGTTGTTGTCCTCCTGTTGTCCTCTTGTTGTTCTCCTGTTGTTCTTTTGTTGTCCTGTTGTTGTCCTCCTGTTGTCCTCTTGTTGTCCTCCTGTTGTCCTCTTGTTGTCCTCTTGTTGTCCTCTTGTTGTTCTCCTGTTGTCCTCCTGTTGTCCTCTTGTTGTTCACCTGTTGTCCTCTTGTTGTTCTCATGTTATCCTCTTGTTGTCCTCTTGTTGTCCTCCTGTTGTCCTCCTGTTGTCTTTTTGTTGTCCTCTTGTTGTCTTGTTGATTTTCTCTGCATGATTTAAGTTTGATTTAAGTTTGATTTAAATTTGATTTAAGTTTGATTTAAGTTTGATTTAAGTTTGATTTAAGTTTGATTTAAATTTGATTTAAGTTTGATTTAAGCTTGATTTAAGCTTGATTTAAGTTTGATTTAAGTTTGATTTAAGCTTGATTTAAGCTTGATTTAAGATGGAGGACGAGTATTTTCCATTTAATTCTTAAACTTCACGTATGTTGGTGCACATTAATAATTGTGACTAACGTGAGCTCGAAAGAGTAAATGCAGCATCTCTCTGGGAGTTGGACAGAATTTATGACGACGTCTCCAAAATGTCTCAGAACGTTCTCAGGGGTTTAATTTCCTGCCGTGAGTCTCGGAGGCTCTCAGCCTCGTCTCATGATTTTTAAACTCTCTCTAGATTTATGCAACGTATTTATTTTTGAAGCTGTGGATGCCTTGAGCCTTCCTGATTTAGTTTCTGCAGTTTTAAAATGCTCCAGCTGTGTCTCGACACCCACTGGAGCTCCAGTCCTTCAAAACCCAACGATGATAAATCTTATTTATTTAAAATCTGATGGAAATCTGCCTCATGTCTAAAGTGAACACCAGATTAAACCATAAACCAGATTAAACCATAAACATGGGGGCGGTACAAAGATGGCCGAGCTGGGTACAGTGTGGACGGTAAAATAATGTGCGCAGCCAAGAGTGAGACCGCAACAGAAAATCAGAGAGTTCAGACAGTTTAATGTCTCCACCCGTCTCAGACCAGAGAGACTGGTTTAAGAATTAATCAAACTGGTTTAAGAATTAATCAAACTGGTTTAAGAATGAATCGAGTTGGATAAAACGTTATTTAAGAAATAATTGTCTGATTTGTTGAGGTCAGGCTCTCCTGTCAGCTGTCGTTCAGGTTCACGAGGTTTTAAAACAGCTGTTTGAATTGTTCTGGGAAGACGAGACCAAGACGACAGAGAAACGTCCACACGGGACGAGTCCTGAAACGATCTGAAGACGATGTTTGTCCCCACAGGACCAGCTGTATGTGTCCAGTGAGCTCGGCGTGGCCCAGCTGGGCCTGGAGAGGTGCGAGTTTTATGGATCGGACTGCGCCGAGTGCTGCCTGGCCAGAGACCCTTACTGCTCCTGGGACGGACAGACCTGCTCCAGATACTTCCCCACCAGCAGGAGGTAGAGGCGCTCGGGGGGGCGGGGTGTAGACTGGTCCAGTAGTCTCAGACCTGCTCACTCATCTGAAGATGTTTTTATAATATGAACAGCGTTCACGTCTCGCCGTGCCGCTCACCAACTACAGGTGTGTTTGAGGTTTTTACCTGTTCACCTGGGAGAAGGTGAAGGACATCAGCACCATCTGAGGGAGAAAGTAGATTTTTGAAAAGCATGAGGGCGGTGTCCGGTGGATTCACCTTGAACAGAAGGTACTGGACAGAACTGCCACGGTCCTCAACCTGAACTGGGTGGATTAGTCCCTCCAGGTGTGTGTGTGTGTGTGTGTGTGTGTGTGTGGGTGTTTTTCTCTCAGGTGGAGGAGGTCAGGTATCTGGGCGTGAGTGATGGTAGGATTGAGGGGGATCAGTGGATGGGGGCCTCTTTCTCAGTAATGAGGATGTTGGGCTGGTTCTTCTGTGGTGAAGAAAGAGTTTGCTTGAACAACAAAGCTCTGGATTTACTGGTCTGTCTACTTTCAAGATTTTTTGTCATTCCACCTCATGTGGTACATGTGGTGGAACGAAATTATGTACACAGAGTCCCAGTTACATCAACAATAAAATGTAAAAGAAAAACAATAATAACATCCAAGATGTGAACTAAGAAAAACATCAACTAAATATACACTAAGCACTAATAGCATTAAAACAATACGTCAAACATGAATGAACACAGCAAGATCAGCAGCAACATGAAACAGATCAGCAGCAACATGATGTGATTCTTCTGGTTAGAGATTCATGAGTCTAACAGCCTCAGGGTAGAAGCTGTTCCTCAGTCTAGTGGTTCTACACTTAATACACTTAACTTAACAACCTCCTTCCTCAGGGGAGCGGGGCAAAAAGTGTGTGTGCTGGGTGAGTGTGGTCCTCCATGATGCAGGTGGTCCTCTTCCTGCATCTGGAGGTGTAGATGTCTGTGATGGTGGGGAGACTGACTCCAACATCTTCTGTGCAGCCTTCACCACTCTCTGCAAAGCTTTTCTTTCTGCAGCTGTTTCCAAACCTCACCTGTGGTCTTGAGGTTTGGATCAGGACCAAAAGAACCAGATGCTGGATCCAAGTGGCTGATATTAATTTCCTCAATAGGGTGGGGGGGCTCGGAGTAGAGCTGCTGCTCCTTTGCATCACAGGAGTCGGCTGAGGAGGTTCATCTGATCAGGACACCTCCTGTTGGAGGTTTTCCAGGCTCCACCCACTGACAGACCCAGAACTCTCTGGAGGGGGGGTCAGATGTCCTCTGTGGTCGGGGTTTCTCTCCTGGACCTGCTGCCTCCACCACCAGACTCCAGACGAGCAGTAAAAGTCAAATTTATTTATAAAGCACTTTTAAAACAGCAGCTGTTACCAACGAGCTTAACAATAAAATCACATCATCAAGTAAAAAATAACAAGATGAAACAAAAGTATCAAAAATAAAAACATAAAAAACACAAACACAGTGAGAAACACCTGGATTATAAATCAGATCACACTTTGTCAAACATCAGTGAAAACAGGTGTGTTTTAAAAACAGGAAGTGAAGCGGTCTGTCTGATGACGGGAGCAGACTGGTCCAGAGTTTAGGGTCCAGGACTGAAGAAGTCCGATCTGCTCTGAGCTTCAGCCTGGTTTTGGTTTTGGTACAACCGAAGAGCATATGGTTGAAGTGGGTCAGAGAGGGTCCGTGATGCAGAAACACCGTAACGGTGAGCGCTGTGCGTGTTGGGATGACGGCTGGAACAGATTCTAATTTATTTTAGAAGGGACTCCTGTTGAGACGAAATAATTAGTTTTTAAAACGTGGACCGTTTCCTCTCCGAGCAGTTTCCTGGAACTTCTCCCGTCTTTCTCAGGTCGTTCTGGGTTTTTCTTTAAATTTTGGGTGATTTTTCTCCCAGTTCCAGTCCTATTGATGGTTTTCATGTTTAAACCAGTAAATCCAAATCTTTGAATCGTTCAGACAGAAAATAAATAAATTTACAAACTTTACTGAAACAACAAACCGTCTGCTGATGTTCTTTTCACTCCAGCAGATCAGATTAACCAGATTTCGTCCTCTTCTTCACTTCCTGCTCTTTGCTCGTGTCTTCTTTCGTCCTCTTCATCACTTCCTGCTCTTCGCTAGTCTTTTTTCATCCTCTTCATCACTTCCTGCTCTTCGCTCGTGTCTTCTTTTATCCTCCTCATCACTTCCTGCTCTTCGCTCGTGTCTTCTTTCGTCCTCTTCATCACTTCCTGCTCTTAGCTCGTGTCTTCTTTCGTCCTCTTCATCACTTCCTGCTCTTCGCTCGTGTCTTCTGTCTGAAGCAGGTTTCCTGGTTTAAATGTTCAGGTTTAGTTTCTAACTGGATCAGAAGCAGCACAGATCTAAGTTCACGGACGGTAAATGTCTGATCAGCTGCAGTTAAACAGTAAGACGTGGTTCCACCTCACACACCTGTCATGGTGCGTTCAAGGACTTGTCTCCCAGCAGGAGGAACGGAGAGTTTTGTTTAGCCTTCGAACTCGTGCTCAGGTCCAGGTTGAAGTTTGCCCTCAGAGGAAACGCTCGTCAGCCGACAATGATGTTTGTGTGTTTGTGTTTGTGCGTCAGGCGGGCTCGCAGACAGGATGTGAAGTACGGAGACCCCTGGAGTCAGTGTCCGGTTTCAGAGGACGGTAAGGATGTCCACTGTCTCACTGTCTTTGAGAACTGTGTGTGTGTTCTCAGAAACGACACACTCCGATTGGTCGATTCTTCTTTTTGTAGATAAAACTGAAATGTTTGTTTTTAAACTGAAGTGTGTGTTTAAAGTTAAAGAGCGGAGAACAGAACTGATGTTAATGTTGCAGATGATCAGTTTTGGTCTCACCGTATTCCTCCAATAGCACCAAAGTCCCGGTGTCTTGGGGCAGAGACGTCCTGTGTAGCTGCAGAGTCTCTGTCCTCGTTCTGATCCATGACACTTTATTTCTTCTCTGCAGTCGAAAACTCTTCACGTGATCAGTTCGTCTCTTGCTTCTCCGTCAGATTCAGATTCGGTGGCGGTGAAGGAGGTCTACGGCGTGGAGGGAAACGCCACCTTCCTGGAGTGCGTCCCTCGGTCTCTGCAGGCCGAGCTCCGGTGGACGGTGTCAGACGGCCGGGACAAAACTCTCAGACAGGTGAGACGAGCGTCCCGTCGCCACGACCATTTCAAAGTTTTAATAATAAATGAATCGGTGAAATCACTCTGAGGTGGACCGTATGGACATGGTGTCTTTGTTAGCTGCGCTTGTCCATCTGTTAGCAAAATATCTGATGAACCTCTGGACATAGTTTTAGTCTCATGGTAAACGATGTTTTTTTGTTTACATCTAATTGACGTTTGAAGACAACCCAGTTTAAGATGGCCGCCACAGCTAACGGACAAAAACAAAAAAGTGTGAAACTTTGTGTGGTAGTAGCTGAGAGTCCTCCCCAACAGACACTCTAAGTGCTGTCAGGTCTTCATTTTCCTGTTTGGACTTCTTCCCTTGATCACCTGGCTCAGGTGGGCGGGGCTTCAGACACCTGGTGGCTCCGCCCCTGAACAGTAAATTTCCTCAGTTTGTGTGAAAATGTGGAAAATATTTTATTAGATTTTAAACTTTGTGATAAAATGGACCTCCTGAACGTCTCTTCTCTCAGCTTCCTCAGGACCCTGAAGACCGGTTCCTGCCCCTGAAGAGAGGGTTGCTGGTTCAACGCCTGGACCTAAGCAACGCTGGCCTCTACACCTGCACCAGCCACGAGCACTCCTACAGCGTGGTTCTGACCCGGTACCGCCTTCACGTCATCCCCAACCACAGTCTCCACCCCACGCACTACCTGCAGAACCACAGCGACCCCCCTGCTCCCCCGGGCCTGTCCAGGACCGGCACAACTGGAGGAGGACTCTCTGGGTTCCTGGGCCAGTCGGGCGGTTCTGTGTCGGGCCTCAGGAACTCGTGGCAGCCCCCTCTGAGGAGCTACAAAGACCTGCAGATGGTGGGGGCCGCGGGTCTGAGCGTGGACGAGTGCGAGCAGCTGTGGCACCGCGAGAAGCGCCGGCAGCAGAAACTCCGGGTTCTGAAACTGAAACAGGAGAACCGCAAGGCCCGGGTGAGGAGGGACAGCCCCCCCGAGACCCCCCTTTAGTCCCCTGGAGGACACAGAGACATCTTGAAGGACAGCAGGTCCTGCAGAGGACAAGGACGGGTCCATCTGAGACCGTTTGATAAGTTTATTAAAAAACAACAACTGGTTCTGATCAAAGTGGATTTTTTAACGATCGTTTTAAAAGTGAAACCAGTTAAAGTTCGTTTGTTTGAGTTTATATCATTTCTCTGTCCATTAGACACAAACATTAATAAAACCCTCTTCAAGGCTTTTAGAGAATATTATGGGATGTTTCAGCTCCTCACAGACCCTCCTGCTGCCCTGGGCTCGAAACGACCCGCCTGGCCTGTTGTAGAACCTGTGGTCGTTTTGACCCAAGGGCAGCAGCAGGGTGTGGAACACCCCGGCAAGAACGCAAATCTGATTTCCACCACGAGCGGATCTGAAGTCCGTCGCCTTTTTTCAGACAAAAATTATTTTTCTATAACTTAAAAAAATCTGCAACAACTGAAGCAACAAAAACGTTTTTTTTTTTTCTGTTTGAAAAGTTTTTACTTTTCAGGATTTCTCGTTGAAAATCAGCGAGGGACAAATTTAAACACATTTCTAAAACGCGTTTAATTTTTGTTCAGCTTTAAAATCAGGAAACCTTTTTGTTTTAAAACCTGCAGGGAATTTATTTAGTCAGTTTCTTTCTGCAGCGAAAAACATGAAAAAATAAAATCAACACGACGACGAAACGTGTTCAACGTTTTTCAACTCTTTCAAGGAAAAACGTCAGGAACCGTTTGTTTTTTAATAAATGCAGAGATCATAATGTGGATCAAATTATTTTAAAGGTTTTAATTTGCAGCAGGTTTAAAGGTGGTGAAAACATATTTACTCCGTGTTTTTAAATAATCTGAAGTTTTTTCAGATTATGAATCGGAAGATGATTTTATTTTTCAGCTGACTTTTTGTCTTCAGATGTTTACGAAAGAAAAAAAATCAGGAAAAGCTTCAGATTTAAATGTTTTTAACTGAATTATCCTCCTAAGACTCTAAGAAGGTTTTTCTGTTCTGAGATCATGTAGGAAATAAAGTCTCAGTGAACTCACACACATACAGTGCCTTGAGAAAGTATTCAGCCCCCTTGAACTTTTCAACCTTTTGCCACATTTCAGGCTTCAAACGTAAAGATATAAAATTTTAATTTTTTGTGAAGAATCATCAACGAGTGGGACACAATCGTGAAGTGGAATGAAATTTATTGCATGTGTCAAACTTTTTTAACAAATAAAAAACTGAAAAGTGGGGCGTGCACTATTATTGGGCCCCCTTACGTTAATACTTTGACTTGGCCATTCCAACTCCTGGATACGTTTATTTGTGAACCATTCCATTGTAGATGTGTCTTTATGTTTTGGATCATTGTCTTGTTGGAAGATAAATCTCCGTCCCAGTCTCAGGTCTCTTGCAGACTCTAACAGGTTTTCTTCCAGAATGGTCCTGTATTTGACTCCATCCATCTTCCATCAATTCTGACCATCTTCCCTGTCCCTGCTGATGAAAAGCAGGCCCAAACCATGATTCTGCCACCACCATGTCTGACAGTGGGGATGGTGTGTTCAGGGTGATGAGCTGTGTTGCTTTTACATCAAACATATCGTTTTGCATTGTGGCCAGACAGTTGGATTTTGGTTTCATGTGACCAGAGCACCTTCTTCCACATGTTTGGTGTCTCCCAGGTGACAAACTTTAAACAACTCTTTGAGAAATGTCTTTCTTCTTGCCACTCTTCCATAAAGGCCAGGTTTGTGCAGTGTACGACTGATTGTTGTCCTATGGACAGACTCTCCCACCTCAGCTGTAGATCTCTGCAGTTCATCCAGAGTGATCATGGGCCTCTTGGCTGCATCTCTGATCAGTCTTCTCCTTGTTCCAGATGAAAGTTTAGAGGGACGGCCGGGTCTTGGTAGATTTGCAGTGGTCTCATACTCCTTCCATTTCAATATGATTGCTTGCACAGTGCTCCTTGGGATGTTTCAAGCTTGGGAAATCTTTTTGTATCCAAATCCGGCTTTGAACTTCTCCACAACTGTATCTCGGACCTGCCTGGTGTGTTCCTTGGTCTTCATGATGCTCTCTTGGCTTTGAACAGAACACTGAGACTATCACAGAGCAGGTGCATTTATACGGAGACTTGATTACACACAGGTGGATTCTATTTATCATCATCAGTCATTTGGGACAACATTGGATCATTCATAGATCCTCACTGAACTTCTGGACTGAGTTTGCTGCTCTGAAAGTAAAGGGGCCCAATAATATTGCACGCCCCACTTTTCAGTTTTTTATTTGTTAAAAAAGTTTGACGCATGCAATAAATTTCATTCCACTTCACAATTGTGTCCCACTTGTTGTTGATTCTTCACAAAAAATTAAAATTTTACATCTTTATGTTTGAAGCCTGAAATGTGGTGAAAGGTTGAAAAGTTCAAGGGGCTGAATACTTTCTCAAAGCACTGTATGTTCCCATGTGTAATAAAACAACAACTTTGTTTGCATTTTAAAGTAAAATTTATAATAATTGGTGTGTTTTTATGTAAACAACTGTTTGTTTTCCAACATTTCACCTCGGTGTTGAAATCTACAGTAACGAAGTTTTATACGGAAAAAATACTAATGAAAACTTATTTTACAATAAAATAAAATTATTTGTGTTTTCTGTGTTTTTTGTTTTTCTTTGCGTTTAGCTTGAGTCCAAATTAAAACCTTTATTGTATAACTTTATTATACAGACATATATAAGTTAATAACAAGAAAGCCACTGTGCAAAACTCCTGGTCCATCCTTAATCTTCATTTTTCTTCCAAGCAGCCAGACCTTAGTAAATCTTTCAAAGACTGAAAATGAGCACAAAAGCAACTACATTAAGAAAAAGTTTGTAAAGCCCAAAGAACTGTTGATCAGACACCCAGTTTTTTAATAGTTAAGTTGTTTATATATCAAAAATAACACGGTTTGACTTAACTAATATTTCTGCACCAATATCTTTAAAAATAAGATTGATCAGTAAAATGTGAAGTCATTGTTTTAACCTCTGTTTTAACCTGCAAGTTAATTTTTTTTTTAATTCAATTCAGTTTATTTATACAGCGCCAAGTCACAACAGAAGTAATCTCAGGGCACTGAACAAGTTAACAAAACTTGAATAAGTTACCAAAAAAAACAAAACCATATAAATAATCTGACACTATTTATCTGAGGCACAGACTACTTTTAATTTAACTGAATCACAGAAAGAAAGAAAAAACACATATTTAATAAGGACACGTATCATTTTTAACTTTTCCAATCAGAACTAAAACCGTCACTTTAAATAATGCTAAATATATATCACAATTTTTTTTAATTTTATCAATAATAATATAATTAATGCAGTTGTAATTCTTCTTTTGATCAGCAGATGGCAGTAACGCATACAAACACGTAACCGCCTGCTGTAAATGAACCGTAGAAGAAGAAGTAGCGGCTCGCCGCCCTTTGAACTGATAAAAACTGAGCCAACAGTGCGCGGTTTGTAGAAAGACAGACCAAACGTTGGTTTTCCTTCGTTGATACGGTGAGGAGATGTTTGTCAGGAGTTAAATTATTTATGTTGTAGTTTCCGTGTTGATAGGAGAGTTTTACGGCCGCCTCTTAGTTTAAGTTGCTCTTTAGTTAGCATGTAGGCTAATGGTAGTTTTTCAGACTCGTGTTTGTTTTCAGTCATTTAACAGAACAAACTTGTTTTTCTGTCTGATTTTCTCAGTGAACTCTTTGTTTTCAGCAGAATGGAATAGCATCAGTTTCAGCTCGGTTTAAAAGAACCTCTTGTTGCCTGTTCGTGTCCAGGCAGGATTCACTGGACTGGACTGGACTGAAATAAAACAAGACTACAAACATGGCGGCTCCAACGCTGCAGCAGCCCAGTTTCCTGCTGGTGAGTCTGGACCGACATGATCTTCTGACCTGGGTTAGTCCTCGGGCAGCACGTGTTCACATATTGCATAAAGTTTGATTTGTGATGTTTTCCAGGCGAACCTTAAAGCTGATTCTACCACCAAACCTCTCCTGCAGCGATGCCAGGATCTGGTTAGGATCATCGATGAATATCCTGCCAAGGTACAGAAACTGAACAGCAGACTGCTGCATCATGGTCGTTGTAGGCTGCACGATTCGGTCTGCAGGCTCTGATCTGTGTTCCTGCAGGAGCTGCACCTGATCTTCCCCTGGCTGATGGAGAGCATGTTTGGCAGTCTGGACGGCGTCATCGCCGGCTGGAACCTGCGTCTCGTTAGCGCACGATGCAGCGACTACAGCGTCGTCTTGGACTTTCTGAACCCGGGGTACTTACAGTTCTATACTCGCACACAAGTCTTCATTTGATCCAGATCGAACATCAGTTTTCTCTCTTGTTTTCCAGAGGCCCGATGATGAAGCTGGTGTATAAACTTCAGTCAGAAGAGTATAAATATGAAATCCCCGTCAACTATCTGCCGGTAAGAACATTCATTACCCAAACTCAGCCTGTGGTTTGAAATATTCACTGTATTATTTGGGATAACCTTTTAAAGTTAGTTCAATCTGCAGCATTCTGTAGCTGCTTTAATTAATTATTGGTATTATTTTTTTCATTAAGTTACTCCCATGGATTTTTATTGTTAAGCTCATTGGTAACAGTTGCTGTTTTTAAATGTGCTTTATAAATAAATTTGACTCGACTTGAAACTGAAGGAAACAAAAATATAAGTCTACAAATTAAAATGACTTAATTTTTGTTTTAAACGTAAATAAACTCTGATTCAGGTCCAGTTCTGTCAGGAGGAATTACACAAAAATCCAGCAAACCGTTGTTAGAAGCTTTTGAAGGAGATCCAGAAGTTTTAATCTGAACTGCGCCGCTCAAGGTGGCTGCATGTTGGAGTAACTCTCACATTCATTCTGAGATTTTGCTTTTGAAAACTATAATTACTCTTTTTTTTCTGCATGTAAATTGATTTTTTTTTCCGGATGATTACTTCCTCTGGTATCAGATGCTGTGCTGCTGGAAGGATTTTTACTGAAACTTTTTTTTACTTTTGGACATTTGTTATGATGCGTAACCATAACAACAAGGTGGTTTTCTACTACTGGGAGCAGCTGATTAACCTATTAAAAGCCCAAATAATACCTAAACTACAGCCCCAAATCCCGAAAGAGTTGAAAAGGAGGTGCCGTGGATGCATTCCCGTCTACCTGGAGGCAATGCTCGAGTGCCTGACCGCTGAGATCTTGGAGGTGGCGGGAAACACGGCTCGTGACAGCGGGAGTACCGAGATCGTCCCCCGGCAGTTAGGTTCGCTGTGGGACGGACTGCTACAAGAGATCCTTCCTGCCCAAAGCCATCAGCATCTAGAACAACAAATGAAACCAAGAAGAGCTACAACAACAATTAATTTCCCTTTGTGATTAATAAAGTATTTGTGAATTGAATTGAATGTTCGACCCAAATCTATTTAATGAAACCAAATACTGAGAACATGGTTGTGAATTTGTGACTTCGAAGGAAATGATAAAGAAATTGTTTTTTTATGGGATTAAAATAATTTAGTAAATCCTCCTAACTGACCTCAAACAGGAAAAGTTTAGTCTGATGCAACAACAGTGAGTGTAAACATTTGGTTTACTCAGCTGTTAGCGTAGATGCTAACTTAACACAGAAAATGCCATAGCAAAGCTAACTCGCTTAGCATTGTGTTAATTTTCTACACAAACGTTTCAGTCAGCTTCTGATGGCTTCAACCATCATTTAGAGACTGATAATCTTCAGGGTTCAGCTCAGAAAAAACAGATTTGCTTCTACCACAGGAAGCTACGGTAACCCTGCTGGGACAAAAGGCACCGAAGCAGCTGCTTCGCCACCTCTCTTGCAGAGCAATAAAATCCATTTTAACATTTAAAAACTGATTCAGAATCATCCAGGTCTCATGAGTTTATCCTAAAAGCTGCTTCAGAGTTTATATTTGTCTCGGTTCTGATCCCTGGACTTTGTTTTTCAGGGTCCTGTGAAGGCCTGCATCCAGGAGGGGGTTCTCCCCGACTGTCCTCTGTTCCACAACAAGCTGCAGTTCCCCCCGTCGGGGGTCCTGACCCTGAACATCGCCCTCAGTATCCTTCACAAACCCAGTCCGTCAACTCGTTCTTTAAGCTAAAATAACTTGTTGAAACCCGGTTGACGGGGTTTAATTCACGTTTAAACACGAGCACTTGGAGCTGCAGGCGAGACGATGATTTAAAGTTACATCTGAGATTATTCCTCAGCTTCCTGCAGATCCGTTTGAGTTCTTCATGTTTCATTTCGCCTACTGTCTCATCGCACCGATGGTGAGTTCAGCAGACGTCGATCCTGACGGAAGCTGCTCCACCAACGTTTTTCATCAATAAAAACAAGTTTTTCTGTTTCAGAACTTTCCTCAGGGCCAGCCCGGCGGCTCGACGGACAGCGCCTACTTTGTCCTGGTGGACATGTACCTGAAGTACTTCCTCCCCACTGAAGGAAGCGTCCCCCCATCCCCGTTCTTCGACTCCAGAGGCTCCGTGACGGCTGCCTCACCGCGGTACTGGCACCGACCCGGCTTCATCAGACTGTCAGAACGTCATCTCAAATGTTTAGTTTTCTTGTGAACCCTGAGGAACACCAGAATTTGTAACGACCACTAAAACTTGTTTAGGACAGAACCGGGGGTGTCCAGACCAGGTTCTAGAGGGCCCCCATCCTGCAGGTTTTACCTGTTTCACACCTGGTTCTGCTGTGGCCCGTTCAGTACTCATTGATTCAGATCAGGTGTGTTGTAGCAGAGAAACAGAGGGTGGGGGCCCTCCAGAACCGGACCCCCCTGGACTAAACCATCACACTTGTTGTTTGAATGTTTCTCGGTCTGTTTTTCAGCTCGTAACTCGTCCCACAGTCTTTGTTCTGTTTCAACCAAAACGTTCGGCTCATTCAGGACTTTCCTGCAGGGACCGTTCTGAAACCTTTAGCTTTGTCGGCCATGTTTTTCTCTTTGAAAATGAATGACGCCCTCCTCCTCTTCCTTCAAAGCCTTTAGCTGTTTAAAGCCTATTGCTGCTCGTTTCAGCTGTTGTCTGCCTCGGCTGTTTTCAGCTACTTTTTATATAATCTGCTAATTTTAGTCCTTTTTCTGCTTTCTTTCTGTTTAGATAATTTTCACTTTTTGTGATTCTTTCAAATAGTTTTGGCTTTTTCTTTTGCTAATGTCATGTTTTTTATAATTATTCAGCCTCTGACTGTCGGCTTCTTTCTGCTACATTTCTGCTCTGTTCAGCTGTTTCTACACATTTCAGCTGTTTTCAGCAAAGGTGAGCAGCTCAAACAACGATTTACTTATTGAAACTTCAGCAGCTTTCAGCTGAAATCGATCAGCGACGAGTTGTCGTCACAGGAAACGACGCTCCTCTGGTTGGTTTAGTCGTAACCACGGAGTTAAAACAGACGAGTGGTTAAGACAAACATTTGTTCCGGTTTGTAACTGACGAGATTAAGTCGGGTCCTCTGGACGTTTTAGTAACTCCAGCTGTTTTCTCCTCAGACCCTCCGGTGGATCTTTCTCCGGTTACGGCGTCCACAGTCCCAGCCTCCTGAAGCATCACATCTTCCATCAGCCGTCGGTGAACGCAGACCCCGCAGCGCAGGAGATCTGGAGGTCCGAGACGCTTCTGCAGGTGAGACGCGTCGACTTCAAGGATTAACTCTTTTCTTCCTTAAAGAATCTGGTCCAGAAGAGATGATTCAACCTTCTTTCGTTTAACTCACACTTCCTGTTCAGGCGTGAAAATGAGTCTTTTATTTTGAAGGCAGGGACCTGGAGGTTCCTTCCTTCCGATAATCCAGCCCTCCCTGTAATCTGGATGTTTTAGTTCAGTTTTCAGCTCATGTTTGTAAACGAGAAATTATCGTCAAACATTTCAAAACCGAACTTTGGTCCATAAAACAACTAAACTGGAGTTCCTCCGTCGTGTTTCCAGGTCTGAATAAGAAGAGTGTAGAACGTTTAAACATCTTATTCTCTGGTTGAGAACACTGATTATAGTAATAATAATAATATAATCCAGATTATAATCTGGCTGTGCTTCAGACCTCTGAAGACTAAACGGCAGATTATTACCAGATTATGTCACTCGTGAGTTTTTTTTTTTTTAACTCTAAATGGAAACTTTTTGTTTGTCGTAACGTTTGAAGAACAGATTATAAAAACACTTTAAAGACGTGTCGACGTCACAAATGACCAAAAATTCAATAAAAGTTTTAACCGTTTCAGTTTGGAAACGATCCACAAGAAAGTTTAGCAGAAGTTGACATTAAATCTGTTGTTTGTTTGTAGATGTTTGTGGAGATCTGGCTCCATCATTACTCCCTGGAGATGTACCAGAAGCTCCAGTCTCCTCAGGTAAAGGTAAGACATTTATCCCCCCCACCTGCTCGCACAGCTGGCTGCTGATTGGCTGACCCCCCCCCCCCCCTTCCCCTGCAACTGCTGGTGTTCCCCACCAGTTACCATGGTAACAGACCAGCCTCTGCTCCTCCCTACAGCTTCATTTTGATTTGTTCCGTTTGTTTCTGAGCAGGTGAAGTTTGGCTCCGCCTTCTTCCTGTTCGCTCAGATCAATAAACTTCGGCGCCGCCGGCGTCAACGATCGGTGTTTTGATTCGTGTCGAGCTGCTTCTGCTTCCTGCCACCTCCTGCATGCTGCACGTCACCGGGGGTGTACCGCTTCCACGAGGAACACCAACATGAAGCCTCACCTGTGAGGGGCTGTGGTGGGTCTGACCCGCTCCAACAGAACCAACGAGCTTCAGGATGAACCAAACTGAACATCGCTGATCCAGAGGAGGCCGAGCCCAGAGCCTCGGAGAGCTTTACTTCAATCTTTAATTAAAAATAAAGATTAAAGTCCATCACAGACAAACCTCCTGCTGGTGTTCCTCTGAACAAAGAATTTAGTGAACGACCGTTTACCTCGTTTTCTTTACATTAACTGAATAACAGGCTAACGGCGGTTAGCTGTGGCGGCCATCTTGTTTGGATGCCTGAACGTTCATCCAGCGATCTGCAGAGGAGACGGTGAAATGTTGAAACCCTTCTGCAGATCCTGGTGAACATTCCTCAGATTAAATGTTTGTTTTTGTGATGAGAATCGTTAAACTGAATTTATTTAGTGGGTCCAGATACCAGTACCAGCATGAGGTACTCGAGTACTCGTACTCTTAAAACACCCGATTCGTCTCTGCGCTTCATGACATGATGTCATTTCCTCTTCCAAAAACTAAAAACCGTCTTCAAAGGTTTTTTAAGATGAACACAGACAGACTGCTGTGTTGAAGAAATAAATGTTTCTAAAATTATTCTGTGATAAAAATATTAACTCAGTAACTTCTCACGGTCAACAAGTTCCCAAACTGGAAAATGAATCCAGTCCTGAGACGCCTGAAGTTTTCTCTAAATGTTCCGGATAAATTAATTAATTTAAGCTCCGAGTTCATCAAAGATCCACCGTTTAATGATTCTCATCTCCACCGCCGAGCTCCCCCCCCCCCCCCCCCCCCGATGAAGCTCCTCTTCATCGCCTTGATGATGAAGAGGAAGGCGTGTCCTCCTCTTCATCAGTGAAGTGATGAAGCTGCCCGTCGATGTTTTCTGTCGTCTTTTGGTCAAATGTTTCTTTGTTGTTTTTCTCCTCATGTTGACCTTCCTCTTCCTCACCCTCCCTGCTCTTCCTCTCTCCTCGTGTCGACCCCCTCCTGTGTTTGTGGGTGAACAGCTGGCGCTGCTGCAGTACCGCCTCAGTATGTCCAGCATGCCGTACCAACCCCACGCCCCCCCAGGCTCTGGGACCCTCCACACCTACCAAGTACTTTTACCTTTTCATTTAGCTCCGCCCCTCCGGGGCCTCCTGAAGGTAAACCTTCAGTCGGTTGCGTCAGTCCACGATACTTCTCTTACCCAGCAGTCTCTGCAGGTCTCTCTTGTTTTTAATGTGGTCGTGTAAAAACTAAAACCTGATCCAGGTCTGCTGAGATCCTGACCCGCATCACGATCCATCAGTTCTATAAAACCTCAACGATGCAGCAAAAGATCCAACTCTCATTTTGTTCAGGACATTTTCAAGTGAGGTTCTGTGGAAAAGTTCTGAGTAATCAACATCTTACCTGCTGCAGATAACTCCTTGAGTTTGTAGAATCAGTTTAATCTGACTGGATTAACGAGCTAACGGCTAATCCAAATCTGTTGTAATAAAACATCTCAAATCTTCAGAAGTTTCACCGTGATTCTTACAAACGCCGTCATTTAACCATTTAATCGCTGCTAAAACAACAGAACATTTCCACTTAACCAACTTTAAAAAGACCAGAATATCCCTTTGATAATCAAATCTCAATATCAACTCACTTTAATCTCCAACGACTGTAAAGAGTTGGTAATCTGCTGTAATCTGACTCCTGCAGGTTCCAAATTAACTTCCTCAGTTTGTGTTTTCTTAGATTATAACTCTGACAAATGAGGTCAGAACGTCCGAGTCTCAGGACCCAAATTATCGGTGATCCCAGGATCCGTTGGTTCTCCGGTGGGTCGGTTCGGACCCATCCTCCTTTAAGAAGGATCAGCGGTTTCATCAACAAGCAGAGTTTTCTATAAAATCTGTTTTTAGACTGTAAATCTGAATTATGTGCAGATTTTTGGCTTTAATTTAATTTAGCCCAGAATCTGAAACGTATCGAGCCCGTGAGCTTCCTGTCGGCAGAACGTCGAGTTTCAGCAGAGACGTATCGTGGACGGCTGCGAGGCGTTGAGCAGATTGTTGTTCTGGTTGTAAAGCATGTTGTCTCTGCCGCCGCCGAATCGCTTCATCAACAAAAGCTCTGCATCGGCTCATGTTGGTGCTGAAAAATCTGATGTTGGAGCAGAACAGAGGTCCAACTCCCATTAGAACCAAAATAGTTTTTGAAATTTATTTGCAGTTTTAGGACTTTAAAAAGTAAAAAAAGATAAAAGTAGCCGCAGATCCAGAGTCAGAATTGATGGGAGGAGGACCTGAGCTGCGCTGTAATTGGTTGCTGTGGGACAAGGCTGTGCTGTGATTGGCTGCTGTGGGACAAGGCTGTGCTGTGATTGGTTGCTT